AGTTATTTTAGAGGTAAATTTTGTTTTTAATTCTTACAAAAGATAAAACTTAAGAGTTGAGATATTATGTCTGATTATTTAGAGATTATATTGATTTAGGGATATGGACTCCCCCCAGTATTTAAAAAAAATTATCTATTCTTCAAATATTGTTTGAATGTTTCTCTGTGACAAGTAAGTATCAGAGTCAAAGATGAAAGATGCCGTTTCTGCCCTCATGTTACTCATAGTCTATAAAGGAAAATAGATCAATAGATAGTATATTGCATTATGTATTAATAAATGCTATAATAGAGTTGTTTATAAGATTCTAAGATGGCAGAGAAAGGCAGTGATCAAATTGGGATGGAGGAGCAGAGATGGTGTTTAGGGAAGGTTTTGCAGAGAGGGTTACATCTGAACAGATCTTGGATGATATTCACTGAGTAGAAAAGAGGAAAGGAGAATCCAGTTAAGAGGGGAACAGCGTAAAGGCATGGAGGTATGATACAACACAGGGAAGCTGCTACAAATAGTTTGATTAGGCTAGATGATAAAGCGCTGGGGGAAAGGGTTAGGAAGGAGGCAGAGAGGCCAGATTCTGGAGGGTATTGTAGAGTCCTAACCTGTTCCATACTTCATCTGAATACCTAACCAAGAGAAGAGGAATGATCAGATGAGGCGAAATAAATGCTTTCTTCTTCCTTAATAATAGGAGACTCCTATTTCTGCCACATAGGAAAAAAATTAAATGCCATTAGGATTTAATCATTGAAGTATAACTTAAATCTTATTTCTCTTTATCTTAGCGGAGTTAGTTACAAAACTTTATGAGGCAGCTGTGAAGAAAGTTCCCAATAGTGAGGAGTATCACTCTCACCTCTTCATGGCCTATGCCAGAGTGGGTGAATACAAGAAAATGCAACAGGTAACTTCATCCCCAAACCTACTAGGTTGTGGGATTTACTATTAGAGGTAAAAGTCTCTTTAATGTGATTTAACTGCAGTGTGTGTGTGTGTGTGTGTGTGTGTGTGTGTGTGTGTGTGTGTGTGTGTGTGTGTGTGTGTGTGTGTGTGTGTGTGTGTGTGTGTGTGTGTGTGTGTGTGTGTGTGTGTGTGTGTGTGTGTGTGTGTGTGTGTGTGTGTGTGTGTGTGTGTGTGTGTGTGTGTGTGTGTGTGTGTGTGTGTGTGTGTGTGTGTGTGTGTGTGTAATTAAATTTGTGTGTTTGTGTGTGGAGATCAACTAGGTATTTTCCTTATGTCTTTAATGATGAACTATTCAAGTTCTTTACATGTTTTATTTGAGAATAAGTTGATTGTTCTTTTGTGGCCTGATGGTATGTTTTGTTTGGTTCTGGTAAATCTGCTTCAGACGTTCCCACTGCATCAGATTGCTGTTAAATTTTTAGAAAATGGGAGAATCCCAGAGTAAAAAATGAACAGACTACAGAAAAAGTAATTTCAAAGTTTGTACCTAATTTGTAAATTTAACTGTTTATAGCCTGCCGAGATGTTTAAATCCAGTGGGAGAAAAATCCCCATTCATTGCTTGGGAAACTTTATTTATTTATTTATTTTGTCTGAGGCAGCTTATCATAGAAGGTGTTGTTTGTATACATGTGAAGGAGTCTTATTTGGACACGTGTTTGGACTAGTGTGTGGCTAAAGCTGACATCCTAGAGAAATGAACCTGTACTGTTAAGCCCATATATGGTTATGATGTCACGCTATCATTTTTTTTTAGAAATGATTTGCTCGTGGGTATAATTTCTCCTTAATGTCAACCTTTGTATTCCCTTATTCAAGTTTTCAAATTGGAAGAATTTTTGGGGGCCTAGACATAATTCTTTTAAAAATTTTTATTATTAATTTATTTACTGATATTCTCAGGAAAAATATTTAGAGATTATAATTTTTCTTTTAATGTAAAACAGGTATTTTTTAAAAATTGGCAACACTAACATATATACATATAAATCCTTAATATCATTTTTACTTCTAAGAATTTTTCTTTTTCTGTGAGCCCTTTCTAGAAAACTTCTAAGAATATGTTTTAAGCAAAGTATATTAAATATCTGTTCATGCAGACAGTTAAAGAGGTTATGGTTCATCTCTACAGTAGAATAAAATGCAATATCTCATCCCCCTCAAATAAGACTGGGTGTTCTTATTTGTTGATGTAGAAATTGATGTAGAAAGATCTTCCCAATATATGTTAATTGAGATAAGCAGGTTGTAAAATTGCCTTCTCTCACTCTCCTCACATCCTCCTCAACAAAGGATATATCTCTAAGAATATGTATAAAAATGTCACCAGGATATAGGGCTGTAGATACTTTCATCTTAATTTGTGTGTGTGGGGTTTTTTTAAGCAGATATTAATTTCATGATCCCACAAAATATGTTTTAGATAAATATATATACACATATATAAAATAACAAAAAGGATAAGTTCATGTAATAGCAATATTAAGGTAAATTTTGAAAAAAGGGGAAAAAAAATATTACTTGAACATAGAGCTTGTTTTCATTTTTGGATAGTGTAGCTTTACATCTTGCCAGAAAATATATACAATTTTGCATTTTGCTTTTTGGAGACATTGTTTTGATGTGGTTTAACAGTTATAGTTCCTTAATATGTTTTAACCATGACTTGCTTCTGCATTATTCCATTCTAATGTGTTACGAGAATGAAGTAGTCTAGTGTTAAATGTTTTAGAATGAAATGTCTAATTTTTATACTACCTTTGTCGCTGCTTAAAGTAGTTACAACTCCTTAGCTTATATGTATGTTTATTTTGAGTTTGGTTTATCAGTCTGAGGTGACAGGGATTTTACAAATTTAATGTCATGTTTCATTAGGGCAAGGGCTTTTGTTTGTTTTGTTCATTGCTGAATCCCTAGCACCTAGGATAGCATATGCACAGTAAATATTTGTTAAATAAATGGCTGATTTGTACAAGAGCACTTTTAAAAGTTTGTGGAAATATAGAATTAAAAGATAAAGCAGGGCCAGCCCGTGGCTCACTTGGGAGAGTGTGTTGCTGATAACACCAAGGCCACGGGTTCGGATCCCTATATAGGGATGGCTGGTTAGCTCACTTGGGAGACTGCGGTGCTGACAACTCCAAGTCATGGGTTAAGTTCTCCTTACCAGTCATCTTTTAGTTAAAATAAATAAATAAATAAATAAATCTTTCCATGAACTTTTTTTTTTTCCTTTTTTGTCTTTTTTCGTGACCGGCAACGGATCGCAACCCTCAGTGTCGCGCCCGTACCGGACCGGGACCGGCAACGGGATCGCAACCCTCGGTGTTGCTCCCGCACCTCGCTCAGCCAGTGAGCGGGAACCGGCCTACATGTGGGATCCGAACCCTCGGCGGGAGCGCCACCACGCTTCCCAAGCGGCGTACTACAGCAGTGCGCCACCGGGCCGGCCCCTTTCCATGAACTTTTTGAAGTACCTGCATATAAACTGGTGGAGGTGGACAGGAGGGAGGGAAGCAGAGGAATTAGAAAACTTAAGAGCTTCTACTGCCCCAAGTGATATCTTTGGCAGGTAATATTAAAACCATGTACATGAAGAATTGCTAGTCATTCATATGGTGATTAGACTTTTTTTCTGTAAATAACATATTAATTCTCTGAGTCCTAACTTAGAGTCATGTTTTTAACACTTGTCTGTCATCAGAAATTTTCTGTATCAAGCAGATTATCTGAGTTTACAAGATGGTAGGGTGTGGGCATGAAATTTTTGTCTTACATTTTATATTAAAAATTCATATTCATTTCTAATATTCTGTTCTTTTTTATCTCTGCATGTCATTATAAAAATGTTTTCTTTTCCCAAATTATCAAGTAAAATTGATTTTCTAACACTTTGGATTTTATCAGTCCAGATTATGTGTACTGCAATGTTTGAAACAGGGATCTCGAGCCATCTCTTCTTCTTACCCTTATGTCTGTTTTATCTCTAGATAATCTTGATTCTTCCTCCACAGTGTCTTTCAGGTGTCTCTTCTGTTTGATGTACCTCATCCTGGTTTAGTGCCTCATCACCTTGTGCTCTTCTTTCTAATTATTTTTTCTCTTCACAGTTCTGCTAAAATACTCTTCATAGAAGAGTATAGATTTGTACATATTACCTCCTTTCCCACTATGGACTCCTTTTTGAATACCTTACAACTAAGTTACCTCGGTCTACCTTTCAACTGTTTCCCATACTACTCCTCTTAAACCTTTGTTTCAGCCAGATATCCTACTTGTTCTTGTCAACATATGTCCCTTGACTTTGTTTCTTATTAATGTTTTTTGTTCAGACTTATTTTTCCCCTACTTAGAGTTGATTCATTCACCCATTCACTCCAAATATTTGTATTTGTGTACATATTCTGTCCCCCATCTTTGCCTAGAGGCATTCTGGTTGACCTTAGAGGTACATCTGAAAGACTGCTATTTTGGAGAGGCTTTAATGATAAAGGCCCCCCACCCCCACCCATTTCCCCTTAACAAAAGAAAAGGAAAGAAAAAACTTAAACTCACCTTCCTTGGAAACACCCTAGCATGATATTTTTGTATAGGACATTTAAGTATATTTTAGTTATTTGTATATTTGTCTTATCTCTTTCCCTAGCTTTTAAGTTCCTTTTGGACTGGGACTCAATCTTTGTATCCTTGGCAGGAATAGGCAATTTCTTCCACTTCATAGGGGCTCCATGTAAATTTTGAAGAGTTTTAACGATAGACAAAAGATTTAAAAACATAAAATAGTAACTCTGATTAGCTAGTGGAGTTCTCAGCATCAGTTACTAGTTGGCTAATTATGGACAAATTCTCAATTATGCTTGAATAGGTCTACTTTACTCCTTTTAGCCATGTCCCTATGTATTAGTCCATTTCTGTTGCTTATTACAGAATACATGGAACTGGGTACTTTGTAAGAAAACAGAATTGATTGCTGTTAGTTTCAGAGGCTAGCAAGTCCAAAGTCCAGGGAACACATCTGGTGAGGCTCTTTTGTGGTGGATTTACAGCAATGCGGGTGTCTCACGTGGCAGAAAGTGGCAGAGCAGAGAGAGAGACTCTCATGTACTCTCCTTTTAAAGCCCTCTGAACCATGCCCCTGACCACCATTATTAATCCATTTACTACAGCATTGTCCTCCAATCTAATCACCTCTTCAAGGCCTCACCTTTCAATTACCACAATAGGATATGCTACCTTCATCAGTTACAGTGACAATTAAGCTTCCAATATATGAACTTTGGGGGACACAATTCAATCAATCCACAACACTCTGCATTTAAGTATTTGAATATTAGGCATTTCACAATGAAAGGGTTCAGTTCTAGTGAATGTTATCTTAGAAGAACCTAATTATATTCCTAACCTAAGAATTATTTTTTGAATTATGCCAGAGTAATCTTTTCTAATTTTGAAGTTTAGATATACTGTCTGGATTTCTTTATGTGTTTTATTATAACTGGTTAGTGTGGTGTCTTCAGTAAAGTTTATTTATGTAGACTCATAGGCCAAATTTTGTGTTTGCCTAGTAGTCTACTAGAATTATATTGGATTGCACTGTATTCTAGAAATAGTGAACTTTATTTTAGAAAAATCTGGCACAAAAGGTGAAATATTACTTATGATGTTTTGTGATTTCCTCCATTGCTATAGCCGTCAAGTCACTAGGCACTTATATTAACTGGGATATGTAAATGTGTTGCTGTTCTCCACATATTTAGAGACTTCTTGTCACATATTTAGACCATTAATTGCCCTCTGTATAATGTTTTCTAAATTAAGTATTTGTGGCTCTCTGTCTTTCAGGCTGGCATGGCTCTATATAAGATTGTCCCCAAAAACCCTTACTACTTTTGGTCTGTGATGAGCTTAATAATGCAAGTGAGTATGGCATTCAGAATGGGATTGAGGTTTGATTTTACTTTCTTATATACTCATTGTCCTTACTTGTCTTCTGAATATTTTGGGTAACGCGTTGCGTCATGCGTCAGACAAGGACTTTACATATTGTCAGTTGACTTTTTAAGTTAGGGATTTTTCGTATTATTTATGAGTTAGTGTATTGGTTTATTTGTGTACAGCATGGGCTGCATTTCCCCTGTTTTTTAGATCCATCGCTTGGTTATTTGATTAAATACAAGCCTCAAAATATTTTATATTTTGGGCTGGCCCGTGGCTCACTTGAGAGAGTGTGGTGCTGATAACACTAAAGGCCATGGGTTCGGATCCCTATATAGGGATGTCCGGTTTGCTCACTTGGGAGAGCGTGGTGCTGACAACACCAAGTCAAGGGTTAAGATCCCCTTACCAGTCATCTTAAAAAAAAAAAAAAAATTATATTTTGACTTGAAATTTGTGTTTAAGACAATATTGTTGGAGAGTAAATAGGTCATTGAACTGGGTGGCCTTGTTCTATCACTTCTCCTTTCTGAGCCTCAGTTTGCTTTTTTGCAGATTGGAGATGCTTATCTCCCAGAACTACTTTTAAGCACTAAAATGAGATTCTGTGTAGGAGAAGATAGGGATAAAGGAGTTAAAATGTAGTGATTCAGAAGACATTTGGGGGTCAGACAGGTCTGCCTTCATGGTTTTATCACATGTCTTGGAGAACTGTTGGGGGAATCTCCTAAACTTTGTTTCTATATCTATAAAATAAGCATAAATATTTACCTTGGAAGGTTGTTTATAAGGATTAAGTGAGCTCTGAGCAGAATCTCTGGCAATATTAAAATTATTAATATTATGCATTAATTATCAATTTAAGGTAACTATCTAACAGTAAATTGTATAAATAAAAGGAATTGCCATTTCCTTTCTAATATATGAACATCTCAAAAAGATATCTGAAAGGCTTTCTTCAAACACCTGATGATACCCTTTATATATAATAAACAATATAGGCATACTCCCTCTTTAACTTATGTAAAAGTTAGGTCAAATTGTGGAAGCTCAGTATTTCAAGAATGCATAGGACGATGAATCTTGAAATTAGAATGAAACCTTTATTTTTCCTCTTTTAGTCTATATCGGCACAGGATGAAAACCTCTCAAAAACAATGTTTCTGCCCCTTGCTGAGAGAATGGTAGAAAAAATGGTAAAAGAGGACAAGATAGAGGCCGAGGCGGAAGTGAGTAATTTAAGTCCTACTTTTGTGTTTTCATGGTTTGGTAGTGCTACAGTATTATGTTACAATATTATGAACTGTTGCTTTATTCCAGTTCCATAGCTGGATCCTCACTCTTGGCCTTTGTGTAAGTGTGAAGTTTTGGAAGCCCTCAGCTTAAGTACAGTGAACATTGAACTGTTTCCAGCAAGTACTTTAGGCTGAGATGTACATAGGCAGGGGAAATACTGTCATCTGATTCTTACTGTCATTTGCATCTCATTTGAAAATAGTATTTGTTTCTATTTAAATAACTTTTAAAATATCTGTTAGATAGTTAAATAATAGATAACTATCTGTTCATTATTGAAAAGTTTCAATGGTTGCACTTCTTATTTGTTTTTTCTATAGGTTGAACTTTATTATATGATCCTGGAACGTTTAGGAAAGTACCAGGAAGCCTTAGATGTCATCAGAGGGAAATTAGGAGGTAATTTTTAAAGTTTTCTTAAGGTTTTTTTTTTGTTTAAACATGAATTTATTGTGGAAAATAAATACAGAAACATAAAGATATAAAGACATAAAAAATTCACTTGTGATCATTTTGTTGTATTCTTCCAGACTTAACTGTATGTTGTAAATTTATTTTTTTAATATTTTTTAATTGAGGGCCGGCCCGGTGGCGCACTCTGTAGAGTGCGGCGCTTGGGAGTGTGGCGGTGCTCCCGCTGAGAGTTCGGATCCCATATAGAGACTGGTCTGCTCACTGGTTGAGCGCGGTGGGGGCGCAACACCGAGGGTTGCGATCCCGTTACCGGTCACGAAAAAAAGACAAAAAGGAAAAAAAAATTTTTTTTAATTGAAAATAATTCATAGATTCAGAAAATTCGAGGAGTGTGAGAGATTATGCCCCAGATCTCCAACTCCCTGCCCCCTAGGTTCTCCTCCAGTTACTTTTTCTTTATATCCTTCTAATGATATATCTTCCCCCCTTTCTCTCCCTTTTCCTTTTTTTTAATAACCACAAATGAGAACATACTGTTCCTGGCTCACAGAGTAATCTTATTTCATTAGCACAATGTTTTTATTTAAACAAATTTTTCTGTAAAATTAAAAAATATTAATGTTAATGCCTTTGGCCAGTTTGTACTTTGTAGATACAAACATTGTTTGTTTACTTGCCTGTCCTAGGAAGGCATTTGAGTTTGTGATCTCTGCTTTGCATACTGTTATACCCATCGTTTATTTTTTTAACTTAATAATGTGTCTTAGAGGTATAGTTCACCACCTCACTTTCTTTAATGACTGCCCAGGGTTCTATAGTATAAAGTAGGCAATTTGCTTAAATAGTTCTTGATGGATATTTAGTCCAAAAGGCACTTAAATTTACTGGTCCCTAGATGCTGTTGGGGTTTTCTAAGTATATCCCACATACTAGATCCTCCACCCATTATATTCTAGGTCCTTATATCTTACAGAGAAAATTATTATAAAAATTTTCATTTTAATAAATTTAAGTGTACTTTTTTCATTTTAGCAAAATAATCCTTAATAAGATAGTAATTTGTATCTAATAGTGGTCCCATTTTCTAAGAGAATGAATAAGAAAATGTAACATTTTCCTTCTTGTGGTTGGACTTTATTCTGATTTTTGAGCAGAAATGAAACCAGCTTACCAACTTTTATAACTTTTAATTGTAGAGAAGTTGACAAGTGAGATTCAGAGTCGGGAAAATAAATGCATGGCTATGTACAAGAAGCTGAGCAGGTGGCCAGAGTGCAATGCCCTTTCCAGGCGCCTCTTACTGAAAAAGTGAGTAGATGCTTTATTTCGTACCATGAGATTGTAGTGAGGCTTTAAGGCTTCACTATTAATTTCGTGTGTGTGCACACGTGTTTGTGTATTTTGAGATTTCTGGGCGTAAAGTATTCTTTTAGTAGTTGTGTTCTGAATGTTTTCAGTGAGCCTTTGTCTTTCAGTAAAGAGGTATAATGGTACTTATGCCACCATGGTGCTGAATACTATGTCTTGAGAATGAATGCTGAAAATCATTAATTTCTCAAATTCAATATTGGCCTAAAAGAGAGAGGCTTCCTTCCTCCCTACAACAATGCCACCTCTCCCATACCCCCCACCTGCCCACCCTCACTCAGGAAATGCTTATATGAGGAGTTTTTTGTTAAGAATATTAGTTGTCTAGGCCTGGCCATTTTATTGAAGAAAAGATTAGTGTTTTAACAGTTTTTTACTTTGAAAATGCCTTTGGAGTGCTGTTCTTTTAGGGCTGCAGAGGAAACCCAGGGGGAAGGGTGGGCCACTTCTAATACACACTAAAATATAACTTAGAAAATAAGTTTCATGTCATGGTTCCTAAGGCAGATTTGTCACAACTTGGGTTTAATCCTGTGTGCATCATTCAATCTGATTTTTAGCTCAGATGACTGGCAGTTCTATTTGACTTATTTCGATTCTGTCTTTCGACTGATTGAAGAGTCCTGGACTCCTCCTGCTGAAGGTGAACAGTAAGTTGTCTTCTTTCCTGAATTACAATAGCACTTTTTAATATGTTGTAGCAAAAGGATTTCATTGTAAGCCAACTGAATTCTTTTTCTTTCTCAATAATGTATTCCTTTCAAAGTAAAATTTTTCCCATTTTTTAAGTTATAAAATAAATGTATTTATTGTAAAAATCTTAGTGCAGAAACATGATGTTTTAGTTCCCAGTTATTCTACCATTCTAGAAAGTAACTCACGATAACAGTTTGGTATCTTTTTTTCAAGATTTATTTGTATTTATATGCTAACATAATTATTCTTATTATTCAACATAAAAATTGAATTGTCTTAGATATAATGGTTTGTAACTTGGAGTTTTTCCTGTCAAAATATATCTTGGGCATCTTTTCATATATAGGTCTGTTTCATTCTTTTTACTGGCTTAGAGATGACCATAATTAATTGAACCTCTTTCCTATTAGTAACACTTTTTTTTTCCCTTTTTTTCTTTGTCCCTTTTTCTTTGGGTGTTATAGACAATACTGTGATAAACATAAATGGGATCTTTTAAAAAGTGAATGTAGAAACAAGATTTTAAAATACCAATTATGGGGCCGGCCTGTGGCTCACTCGGGCAAGTGTGGTGCTGATAACACCAAGGCCCCGGGTTCGGATCCCATATAGCAATGGCCGGTTAGCTCACTGGGTGAGCGTGGTGCTGACAACACCAAGTCAAGGGTTAAGAGCCCCTTACCGGTCATCTTTTTTTTTTTCCTTTTTGTCTTTTTTCGTGACCGGCAACGGATCGCAACCCTCGGTGTTGTGCCCGCACCTCGCTCAGCCAGTGAGCGGCCGGTCTGTATGTCAGATCCGAACCCTCGGCGGGAGTGCCGCCGCGCTCCCAAGCAGCGCACTGTAGCAGTGCGCCACCGGGCCGGCCCCAATTACCGGTCATCTTTTAAAAAAATAAAATAAAATACCAATTATGAGCTGGTGCTTCATAATATTAAGTCATCTAATTTTTGTCAGCCTTCATTCTTCAAGCAAAGTAAAATTTACTTACATTTTTACTAGGCAATATTTTATGTATACAAAATTATCCATTCTTTTTTTCTAGAAAGTAGTAGAGGTGGTTAGTCGCTTTGTAGTAATTAAATGCCAAAACTGGGAGTCATTTTATAACATGTTATCTGTTAGAATATGCTCATAGTTCTCTTTTGTTCCCATTTTTAAATATTTAATTTGTTTCTTAAAATCAATTTGGCTTGGCTTTAAACTTTAGGAGGGGCAGCAGAGGCAATGAAATGCTTTTTTCATGTGTTTATACCCAGCTCTTTAGAAGGAGATGTACATTATTCTGCAGAAGAAGCTGTGAAGTTTATAGAAGATCGAATAACAGAAGAATCTAAAAGTTCTCGCCGTCTCCGAGGACCACATCTAGCTAAATTGGAGCTGATTAGGCGTTTACGAAGTCAGGGTTGTAATGATGAGTACAAACTGGGTAAGAACCTATACGATATTTGGGAACTCTCAAGAGATACAGGGATGCCCCCAATACCCAAGTGCAATATTCATTATCTGGGGCCTGTAGTGACAAAGTTGCATTTGGGAAGCAAATGTCTTCATAACCTGAAAATATTTACCAATGAATGGATCACTTATAAAATTAGTCCTCAATCACATATTTGACGTGGCTTAACATTAGCATCTCTCCATATTCCATCAGAGTCTATGTCAGACATTCTCTTGCTGACTCAACAATAAAGTCAAAATCAATTTCAAAGTAAAATTGCTGGTTTTATAAAAGTTTCAGGATCTCATGAAGTGGATGAAAGTTTTCTTGAAAATCTGCTCCACGCACTCACAAAGCCATTGACAAAAGAATATCTGGCAGGATTAGAGCCGTTAGCAGCTAAAGGGAAACTTTATAAGGATAATGACAAGATGAGAGAAAAGAATGATATGGATAGGAAAGCATTAAAGAGGCCTTCAGGAAATTTGATGAAGCCCTTAGATGTTTTCATAAAATGGTTCTTTGTGATCTTACTGCACCAGAAGGGAAGGATGTCATATTGTGCTAGTTCATAATTTTGTTGGAAAAATGACACTTCCCTCACCAAAAAAAAAAAAAAAGCAGTAATTCTTTGCTCATGCTAAGAATTAGCTTATAGTTTTAATTGTACCCTAAATTTTGTTAAATTTAAGATAATAAGCTCTCTAAATTTTTCAGCTTCATTTTTAAAGAGAAAGCTCTAAAGAAACCGTTTTTTCCTCTTCGTCATTGTGAAAGTTTGGACCTCATTAAAAGTTGACTAACTTTAAGAGGGCTTTTTGGGGACCAGTGTCCTGGGATAATGAACACCAACGATATTTAAAATCTACCCTAGAACATCCCTGTTCATTTTAATGATCTAATTAATACTCTCGGCAGCTCATTCTAAAATTAACTGTGGACTTCTCTTAGTGATTCCCTTTGCAGTTTACTCACAACCAATTTTGAATTCCATCTTGACTTCTTTCTTTGGGTCTACTTCAGCAATTTCAGTCTGTGCTAGTTCCAGAATTGCAAATGAAAATTTTCATGTGACTTTCAGCAAAATATTGTTAAAATGGATTCTGAAGAATTGCTTTTTCCCCAAGCTGGATATAAACGTGTTGGGTCAGCCTTGATACTTATTTTATCCATTCTCTATCTTTCTCTTCCCACTCATCAGCCTGTATCTTACAAATCTGTGAATTTGTCTAGTCTACACAAAAAAATTTTTTGCCAGACCAGTGAGTGATTCATAATCTCTCTTGGATCACAGAGTCCTGTGAAAATCCAATTAAAGCTATGGACCTCTCTTCCCAGAAAAATGTGAACAGGAACCAAGACCTAAAATCTTAAGGAGACCCTGGATTAAAAATTCCTACTTCTGTGCTGGCCAGTTAGCTCTGCTGGTGAGAGCATAGCCTTATAACACCATGGTCATGGGTTTGGATCCCATACTGGCCAGCTGCCCCCCCGCCAAAAAAGTCCTATTTCTTAAATATCATATATATTTGAGAGCATTTTATTTTTATTTTTTATTGTGAGGAAAAATGAACTGTATATAAAGGTTTTATAACTGTATATAACTGTATATAACTGTTTTCTGTATATAAAGGTTTAAATTTAATGTTTGTGGGCTGGCCAGTTAGCTCAGTTGCTTAGAGCACCACCTTAACACCAAGGTCAAGAGTTCAGATTCCTGTACCAGCAGCTGCCAAAGAAAATAAAACAAAATAATTTTAATGTTTGCATATAATTTGAGGGGGTGGTTGCTGGCCAGTATGGGGATACAAACTCTTGACCTTGGTGTTATCAACTAACTGAGGTAACCAGCCAGCCCTGCATATAAATTTGTCTTTATTTAAATTTTAATTTAATGGAAAACTTTTTAGCTATTTAAATTTAAACTGAATGAAAAGCTTCACATTTCCTTAGTTGTAATAACAGGTAAGCTGAGTTTGTAAGATTCAACTTTTGTAAAAAGTATTTATTTTTAAACTGCAAGCTGTCTTTCAGCTCTCATTCTTTCTCTTCAAGCAAATTTTTATTTGAAATACTGTTTTCAAATTAGACCTCTCGTTTAGATTGGAGATTGCTTTTGTCCATGAATAATTTAATGAGTTTTTTTTTTTTCCTTCTTTTAGGTGATCCAGAAGAATTAATGTTCCAGTATTTTAAAAAGTTTGGGGATAAGCCTTGTTGTTTTACAGACCTTAAGGTGTTTGTTGACCTCTTGCCTACTACACAGTGTACAAAAGTAAGTACAGTTTAGAATTCTTTTGAGTGCCTCTAATTTATTGAAACTAGGTTAAGTGTTTGGGTTCCCTTTCTAAAATGTGTGGGAATGATGAACATGAGATTTCATGATAACTACCTTGTCACGCTAAGAACTTTAGATACTGTCACATCGAAGGCATGATTTCTTATTAAGTTAAGCCACAATGGGAATAAATCCCTGGCAGATGATTGGATTTTCCTTTTTTTTTTTTTCCTTTTTGTCTTTTTTTTTCGTGACCGACAACGGATCGCAACCCTCAGTGTCGCGCCCGCACCGGACCGGGACTTTTCCTTTTTTAAAAAAATTTTTAATTCTGTTTTGAGATAATAGTAGTTTTACGTGTAGTTGGAAGAAATAACACAGAGATCCCATGTACCCTTCATCCATTTTGCCTCTGGCAACATCTTGCATAACTATAGTGTAATAACATAATTAGGAAATTGATGTTGATACAATTCCCCTGATCTTATTCAGATTTCACCAGTTTTATATGCATTCGTTGATGTGTATATGTGTGTGGTGTATGTGTATTTAGTGCAGTATGTACTACACATGGATTTGTGTGACCACCAGCATAATCAAGATATAGAACAGTTCCACCACCAGAATCCCACATGCTACCCTTTTATACCCAAGCCACTTCCCTACACCTCCATCTCCCCCATCTCTATCTCTGTGCAACTACTAATTAATATATTTTCCATTTTTATCATTTTGTCATTTTAAGAATGTTATATAGATAGAATCATACTATGTATAACCTTTTGAGATTTTTTTTTTTTTTTCACTCAGCGTCATTTCCTGGAGAGTCATCCTCATTGTTGCATGTATCAGTAGTTCATTTCTTTTTTACTGCTGAATAGTATTCCATGGGACGAATGTACCACCATTTCTTTAACCAATCATCTGTTGAAGGACATCTGGGTATTTCCAGTTTTGGGCTATTACAAATAAAGCTGCTATGAACATTTATGTGCAGGTTTTTTTGTGTGAACATAAGTCTTCATTTCTCTGGGAAAAATGCCCAGTAGTACAATTGCTGGGTCTTATAGTAGCTGCGTGTTTAGTTTCATACGAAATGGCCAAGCTGTTTTCCATTTTAAATTCCTGCTAGCAATGTATGAATGATCCAGTTTCTCTGCATCCTCACCAACATTTAGTGTTGTCACTATTTTTTATTTTAGCCATTGTGATACGTGTGTAATGTTATTTCATATGTTTATTTGCCATCTGTATATCCTCTTCAGTGAAATGTCTGTGTCTTTTGCCCATTTTCTAATTTATTTGCTTTTTGATTTTTACTGTTGAGTTTCTAGAGTTCTTTATAAATTCTAGAAACAAGTCTTGGTGGATATGTGGTTTCAAATATTTTCTTCCAGTCTGTAGCTTGTCCTTTCTTTCTCTTAACAAGGTCCTTTGCAGCACAAAGTTTTACATTTTGATGAAGTCTAGTCCTTTCAATATCTTATCTCTAATAAGCTGAAAACTACAACATTTAATCACTAATTGTTTCAAACCATGATTTATTCCTGCTGAAGCAGTCTGAAACTCAAAAGCCTTAGGGATTTTTTAAAAAAATAAACTTTATTTTGGAATAATTTTAGATTTATAGAAAAGTTGCAAAGATATTACAGAGAGCTACTGTATACCCTTTACCTAGCTTCCCCTAATGTTAACATATTAAGTTACTGTGGTACATTTGTCAAAACTAAGAAACTGACATTGGTACATTACTGTTAACTAACCTCTAAATTTTATTTGGATTTCCTCAGTTTTTCCATTAAAGTCCTTTTTCTGTTCCAGAATCCAATCCAGGGTACCACATTGTATTTAATTGTCATGCATTTGGGAGTTCTTGAAGTGAATGAACCCAATGTAAATCAGTTATATATCAGGATGGAGGACCATATTTCTAGACTTCTCATTCACAGCAACATGTATTGAATCAGATTGCTCACACATTGATAGGAACTTCATATCCCATTCCATACTAAAGGTTTTTAGCACTTAGCCCAGAATTTCCTTGGTAATGGTTGCTGGAGTGCTCTACCCATGGGAAGAACAGTGTGCCTGCAGTGGGATAGAGCACAGTGTAAATAGTGTTGTTTGTAAAGAAAGTCAGTGACTTTGGTCCACTTTACTCATAAACAACTCTGTAATTAGTGAAGGTTTTATATCTTCCTTTTACAGGGCTGCCACCATCTGTTCTCCCAGAATGCCTTCTGTTGTCCCCATGTGACATGAATGAAGTGCTTGGGAGCACAGTGGAGAGGACTAGAATATTCTTTTGGTGACCACATCTTGAGTCCAGAGGGCTCAATATTTTGTCAGATGTGAGGTGACACATCGAGGGTAGATGGAGCAGTGCATTGCAAAACTGAGAAGTAGCCAGTGGTCTCTATGGGGTTCTGAAATGACTCATCAGTCAAATTGGGTTAGTAGAGCTGTTCTTGGGATGCTGTGCCTACAGGGCTCAGGCCAAACACAGGAGTTTCTGGATAAATTGTAAGACACCCAGCAAAGAGAGTTATGGGTTGTAGGAAGATTTGAAAGCATATGAGAGAGAAAAGTCATTGAGCAGAAGAGAGAATTTTGGTCTGGTGAAGACAGAGTGGTACTTCCTGTCACATATTTGAAAAGCTGTCTTGTAGATGAGGGAACAGAACAGGGACCAGCAAGAAGTTTTTACAGGGAATTGAGAATTTGTCTCAGTAAGAAAAAGATTTTTTTAGTATTTAGAATTCTCTAAAAATACCGTACTTCCTGTCACATATTTGAAAAGCTGTCTTGTAGATGAGGGAAGAGAACAGGGACCAGCAAGAAGTTTTTACAGAAAATTGAGAATTTGTCTCAGTAAGAAAAAGATTTTTTTAGTATTTAGAATTCTCTAAAAATACATTTTGTGAGCTTTGTGTTATTAGAGGGATTTTAGCAGAATCTAGATAACCATGTGGGAGGGATCTATTCAGTGTTTGTTGAGCATATTATACATTAAGCCCTAAGACAGGGAACAACTGATCTTGTCTTACAGTGCTTGCCATTTTGTAAGTTGAAGCATCAAATGGTGGGGCTGCATTAGAGGAACATTTATGTTGCTGCCCAGAATCTAGTACTAGTAACTTTTTCTGTACAGCCCTACTTGATTGGTGTGTTTGAAAATCTTAGGTCATCTAACAGGTACATGAAAAAGTACTCAACATCACTAAGCATCAAGGAAATGCAAATCAAAACCACATTAAGATAGCATCTCAGCCAGTTAGACTGGCTGTTATCAAAAAGACGTAGAATAGCAAATGCTGGTGGGGATGTGGAGAAAGGGAAACGCTTATATGCTGTTGGTGGGACTGTAAATTAGTGCAGCTAATGTGGAAAACAGTATGGAGGTTTCTCAAACAACTATAGGTAGAACTGCCATACAAGCCAGCAATCCCACTATCAGATATATACCCAAAGGAATGGAAATCATCATGTTGAAGGGATACCTGCACTCCCATGTTTATGAATACCCTTTACAATAACCAAGATTGGAACCAACTTAAATGTCCATTGATGGATGGCTGAATAAGGAAAATGTGGTATACACAATGGAATACTACTGAGCCATAAAAAAGAATGGAGTTCTCCCATTTACAGCAACATGTATGAGCTTGGAGAAAACTGTGTTGTTAAGTGAAATAAGCCAGGCATAGAAAGATAAATACCACACGTCCTCACTCATAAGTGAGAGCTAAAAAAGTTAATTAATAAATAAATTAAAAAGATGGAAAGAAAGAAATAACAATCACAATAATACGCTGAACTTTCAAAAGGAGAGAACAGAACTGTGATTATTAGAGATGGGAAGAAGGGAGAGAGAGGGAAATTAGAAAATTGGTTACATAAGGGTCACAAAGAACGATTACATTTTGTGATGATGAATATACTAATTATCCTGATTTGATCATCACATATTGTACCCAGGTATTCATATTCAACTCTGTACCCCACAAATATGTATAATCAATTATGTTTTTTCCATTAAAAAAAAATAAAAAGAAAATCTTATGTCATCTCGTGTGACACCGTATGGTAAGAATTATTTATTCAAAGGAACCCTACTGGAATACTAACAATGATAGTGTAATCAGAATTACACTGATTCTTACCGTGAGACTAAGAATTTATTTTTTTATTTTTCTTATGTGTGACTAAGAATTTAAAGCTGTTGCAATGAGTTTCATGGTCCTTTTCTATGTAGATTTTAATTGAGAGGTAATTTTGGTGTTACAACTTTTTAATTGTAGGATGACTTCAATAGCTAAAAATCCTGTCACTTGCAGCTATGTTTGTCAGAGGATTGCAAACTGTTCAAATAGGTTCAAGCCAAGAACTGTTGAATGAATTATGAGCCAAATCTTTCTAATGTATGACTAGTCTGTAAGAGTGGGCCATTGAGTCCAGTTATCTTAAATTGGCTCACCCATGGTAATGTTTTAATTTTGGGTTTTTTGCTTTGGAGTTTTAGCTAAACAATAAAGTGGTTCTTAGTTTTTAAAGAAGCTTTTTGCACAGCAGTAAAGCTATACAGATGAGAATAAAGCGTGCATATATTGTTTGGTAACAAAACTTGTTTGGAAGATTCTTTAGCATTCACTAAACATAACTAATATATAAAATGGCCTGGAAGAATAGAAGAGCTGCAGTAGAAACTATGCAGGCATTTAATTCAAAAATGAAAACCAGAGTTGCAGTTTGTTACAAATACAAAATAAATATCTGATCATAATAATTAAAATTAATATAATTGTAGACATTGAAGCAAAATTATTATGGATGTGAAACTGCATGATGAGATTTTAATTTTTAATTTATATCAAAAAATATGTAATTGAAAAAGTCAAATAGTATCAAAAGGCTTATTTTGGGGCCGGCCTGGTGGCGCACTCTGTAGAGTGCGGCGCTTGGGAGCGTGGCAGCGCTCCTGCGGAGGGTTCGGATCCCATATAGAGACCAGTCTGCTCACTGGTTGAGCACGGTGGGGGCGCGACACCGAGGGTTGCGATCCCGTTGCCGGTCACGAGAAAAGACAAAAAAAAGGAAGAAAAAGAAAAAAAGGCTTATTTTGAAAATAACAGCTGCTCTTTGTTACTCTAGCTCTGCAGATTCAAATCACTTTCATGACCGGTAAGGGGATCTTAACCCTTGTCTTGGTGTTGTCAGCACCACGCTCAACCAGTGAGCGAACCGGCCATCCCTATATGGGATGCGAACCCGTGGCCTTGGTGTTACTAGCACCACACTCTCCCGAGTGAGCCACGGGCCGGCCCTCACTTTCAACTCTTAACAGTTTCTTCTGTTATTTACTTCCATATTTCTAAATTACAGGTTTATATAGCAGTTTGTTTATTTTGATACTTATAATCTTCATATCTTGGTGTCCCACTGTGAAGGTGATAATTTGTTTATAACATCTCACTTTTCCCCTTACATACTTTTCCCCCAATATAGTTCAGTCATTATACATTATTTGTATTTTTATGACTGTAAATATTATTCACAGCTTAGCCACTTGGTATATGGAGATTACCTTTCTTGCAGAACTTACTTTCTCTTGGAGTTAATATTTTTTTGTTCCATTAACCCCGATCAATCAGACAGAACCATTAAAGAATAAAACTCTTCTTAGTGTGGTCTAAAACATGAGATGACATTCTCTCAGCTCTACCCCTTTAGAAATACTTTTCATAGAGCCTGTCTGCCACCATCTGTTTGAGGATTTATATATTTGGCTGATAGCATTCAGGGATTAGGCTTGGAGTAGGGAGAGGGGAGCTGGGGCTCTCATCATTGAATAAATAAATTTTCAATTTATCCCGTGTTTTCAGCTATGCCTGCTATCCCTGAGGCTACAGGTCTGGTTCAGGTTCTCTTTGGTATAAAACCCTAGGCTTCTGCTCTCACTTAGGAAGTTGATGTCTGTGAGCTTGGGAATTCTTTAGCAAATTTTATTTCAGTCCCATGGGCACCTTAGCTTTCAGATACCTGGTGCCCTTAATTTCTGAGTGTGTAAGGTTCTTTGATTGGAAAATCTGAGTCTTCAAGGTCCTGTGATTGGAATAGGCTTGCTGTGTATTGGTGTCCTCCCAGTTGGCCCTGTAGGTTAGTTATTAATTACCACCTGCCCTTTTGCCTTTTTGTTGTTGTTGCAGCTGGCAGGTGTGGGGATCCCAACCCTTGACCCCTTCTGCTTTTTATCTTTTGAAATCTTGATGTTTTTTATTTGCCATCACCTCTTCACATATTGTTTCCCCCCTGGCAGCTGGCCTATGTAGGGATTGAACCCTGGACCTTGGTGTTATCAGCACCACGCTATAACCAACTGAGCTAACTGGCCAGCCCCTCTTCACATTTTTTTATTTTCCTTTTGGCTGTTGGCCAGTAACGGGATCTGAACCCATGACTTTGGTGTTTTAACACTGCACTTTAAACAAAGTGAGCTAATCAGCCAGCCCTCCTATTCACATATGCTTGATCTTTGTGGGTTATTCCTTTTTTATTCCTTATTTGCATCTTAATAGGATTTTAGAAGTGAGCAAAAATAAGCATGTGTTTAATAAATATATAACTGGAACTGGTGTGTGGTTTTTTATTTCTTTAATACTTAACCAAATGAAGAATTAAAAACATTTTAAGGCAAGATGTTATCATTGGGAGAAACTGGATGAATAGTACACAGGCTCTCTTGTGTTATTTTTTACAACTAAATGTGAATCTATAATTATCTCAAAATAAAAAGTTTAGTTAAAAAAATTTAAGGTCATTGACATAAGATAATCATTCCTTTAAAAGTAGTGTAACCTTTAAGAATTTGTGTGTCAATATAGTTGTAGGCTTTTTAATTTTTAAAATTTTTTGTTAATTTCTTTTCTATAGTCTTCCTAATTTAACTTTTTCATTGTTACAGTACATGTTTTGGTGTGCTATAATTTATGAAACATTTTCACAATTTTTAAAATCTTCTAGTTCCTGTAGCATATGGCATTGACAAAATACCTTTGGCCAGCATTGAAGAAGTGTGCCGCAGTTACTGGAGTCTCACCAGCATTGTGTGCTATCACAGATTTTTTTGTTTTAGCTATTTTGGTAGGGAGAAAATGGCATATTAAAGGAATTTTAATTTTTTTCTCTTGATGTCTTTTTCTAGACCATTTCAGTTTCTGTTAATTGTGGCCTACTGAAGACTAGTTCTATTTTGAGACCTGTGCTCCTTTTTCCCCCCACTTTGTAGTTTATTAATCAGTTACTTGGAGTTGTTCCTTTGTCGACACCAACAGAAGATAAGTTGGCACTGCCTGCTGACATCAGAGCTCTGCAGCAACATTTATGTGTGGTGCAGCTGACAAGGTTACTTGGCTTATACCACACCATGGATAAAAATCAGAAATTGAATGTGGTCAGAGAATTGATGTTAAGGTACCAGCATGGACTGGAATTTGGTGAGTGACCTTTCAAAATGTGCAGTAGTTCCCTGATCTGTTAATACTTAGAAGTCAGTTTTTAAGTACCCATAGCACCCTGTTTTAATGAGTTTGGTAAGGAGAATATTTTGTCAAGTGGGAAGACCATGTAATATGACGTAAAGCGTTTTTAACAAAAGCTTGGAGTTGTAAATAATTGTTTGTAGTTAGCTTCCAGTTGTCCATATTCTTCCTGAACTGATGAGCTAACTCTTTATTACACTGGGAATCCTATGAATTGCATAGTTTATGATAATTGTCACATTTTCTGCTTATAGGCCTTAATATTCTTAATAATAGACTATGTAAGTGCACAAAAGGAATATGGTAAGTTGTAACGTAAATATTTAGTGTAGATGATCTTTAGGCCTGGCTTTTGTTAAATATATGTGATAGAAATATAAATTATCTGACTAGAAGATGTCAGTATTTCTCTAAGTATATTTTAAAAATTAGATGAAATAAGGAGCATAATATTAATTTAGTTATACATGGTCCTTTGCTTATGTTCTGTTTTTCTCCTAAAACCTCCTTCTGAATCTTGCTGCTCTCCCTTTGGGACTCTATTCTAGAACCTTTCTTTTTATTCCAGCTGAATGTGAACTTACCTTCTTTTGAACCCTTTAATTCATAGCTTATATATTTTTTTCTGGTACTTATATATTCTTTATTTTCTTTTCCTTTTCCTCTTCTCACTCCTGTCAGTATCATGCTTTTAAAAAAAATCCTTTTGGGCAGTAATAGTTGAACAAATGTTAAAATACATAATGATTTTTTTTCCTACAGGGAAATCCTGTTTGAAAACAGAATTGCAATTTTCTGACTATTACTGTCTTCTTGCTGTCCATGTGCTTATTGATATATGGAGAGAAACAGGTAAGTAGCAGTGATTTCAATTCACCTTTACTCTTTGTTTTTATTACTTCATGAATTTGATTTATGCTTTTAGGTTGTTCTTCTTTGCCCTTCTCCAGGATGCTTCTAGAACTCAAATCTTCAATTTATCTCCCTCCCTATAATCAGGATAATCTTAAATCAATGGATATCTGTTCTATTTTTAAATGTTTCTGAATAATATGTAATGACTGTATGAAACCTATCAGACAGCTGCAGTAATTAAAATACAATGAAACTGGGCCGGCCCGGTGGCGCACTCGGTAGAGTGCAGCGCTTGGGAGCGCGGCAGCGCTCCCGCTGAGGGTTCGGATCCCATATAGAGACTGGTCCGCTCACTGGTTGAGCGCGGTGCGGACGCGACACCAAGGGTTGCGATCCCGTTGCCGGTCGTGGTACGGGCGTGACACTGAGGGTTGCGATCCTGTTACCGGTCACGAAAAAAGTCAAAAAGGAAAAAAAAAATATAATGAAACTGATTTAAAAATAGATGTAAGGGACTGGCCAGTTAGCTCACTGGGTTAGAATGTGATGCTGATAACACCAAGGTCATGGGTTTGGATACCTGTACTGGCCTGCTACTCCCCCTTAAAAAAGATGTATAGGCCCGTGGGACAAAGTAGCCCTTTTTATTCATTTAAAAATATTTTATATATAGGAAAATGCAGTTTTTTGGAATACAGTTCTAATTAGCCCATTTAAGAAAAAAAATACAATACATGGTAAATGAAGCATCATGAGTCATGGAGGAAGAGGAGGATGATTCAGCAAATGGTATAGGGATTGCCTTTTCTTTAGGTCCCACCCCCTGACATTTTCTCTTATTAGTTTTGGGGAGAAATAACTTAAAGTGCTTACTGCATATTATTCACAAGAGTAAACTACAGAAGAAACAAAGGGCTGGGGAGACAGTGGTGAATAAAAAATAGACACAACCCCCGCCCTCATGGATCATTTCAATGGAGCATTCAGTTTTGCTACTATCATCCCCTTTCTAAAAATCTTTCAGAGGTGCCCTGTTTTCCTTAGGATAAAAGTCAGTTGCTTGGGGATGGTTTACAATGCCCTTTATAATCTGGCTTCTGCCCACATTTCCAGATTCTTAGTTACTTACAGTCCTGAATCTACTTTAAAAATTTTTGCTACTATCACTGAACATCATGTTGCATCATTTTTTTTTAATATAAAGATGACCGGTAAGGGGATCTTAACCCTTGGCTTGGTGTTGTCAGCACCACACTCTCCCAAGTGAGCCACGGGCCCTATGTTGCATCTTTTTTTTTTTTTTTTTTTTTTGTCTTTTTTTCGGGACCGGCAACGGGATCGCAACCCTCGGTGTCGCGCCCGCACCTCGCTCAGCCAGTGAGCGGGAACCGGTCCGTATGTGGGATCCGAACCCTCGGCGAGAGCGCCGCCGCGCTCCCAAGCGGCGCACTGTAGCAGTGTGCCACCTGGCCGGCCCCTTTCAGTTTTTTTTTTTTTTTTTTATGTTGCATCTTTTTGAAATGACTTTCTTACCTTCTTCATTTAACTTTTACTCCAACAATGCCTATGACAAATCCTGTCTTGATTTTTACCTCCTCCCTCATTACATTTTTATGCCCCTTCTGAACTTCTGTATGTACCCATATACTGTTACACTGTGTTGTACCAGGGATGGGGGTGAAATCCTTGTCATCAGAGGACTTGTTATCTGAGCCCCCAGATTCATGATGCTGCATATGGCTGCAAAATTAATCTTAATATAAAAACCATTAATGAACTGACCACTTAGTGATTTGGCCTGTATGCAAATATCCTTCCTCACTTAACCCTGGCATCCATTCTCACTCATGATGACAGTGGCTCAGCTAGTCTTTGTGTTTTGAGCAAAATGTCTGGCCGTATAATAATAATAGCAGCTAACATTTGTTGATCATCAGGCACTTGGAAGTACTTTATGTGAATTAATTTAAACCTCATAACAATACTGTTATTGTCACAATCTTATAGATGAGGGAAATGTAGGGCAGGGAGAAAGAAGTTAGGTCAGTTGTTCAAAATCCTGCAGTGCAAATATATTGAGAATCATTTGAAAAATGAAATTATAGATCTTGTAGAGTTGCAGGGTTTCTTGAAGGCAATGAAAGTGATGTTGAAGTACTCCAATCATAGGCATAGTCATTGTTCAAGGCAGATCTGGCAGAAATTAGAAACTGATAGAAAATTGGTGAGGTTGTTGAAAGGATCAATTTTGATGCTCTCAAATATTTTTACAAAAAAGCATTTCTTGATGAGCATGCTGCAAAGGTAAAGTGGAGAGGGAAGGATGTCATTTTATTGTACTATAAAACTGAGTTAGAAAAATTATGTCCAAAAAGACCTCATCAACCCTTGATGCACTTTTGATTTGGTGAAGAATTTGCATAGATATGTAGTTATAGCTTAAGTTTTGCAAAATAAAATAATTAATATCTTCATATTTAGCTTAATAGTTCAGAAAGAAGTGGAAATTAAACTATTTTTTTCTGGTTTCTTTAAAATTATGATTCCATTTTAAAGAGATCCTTGTTTTAAGTTTTTTTTCTTATACCAGTTATGATAACCAGGACTTCTTACAATTATCTAATCCTTATAATTGTTCATCTTTTTCTTCTATTCAATTTTAAGCTTCTTGAAGCCAGGAGCCATCTGTGACTCTTATCTCCAGTCTTAATCTAGTGCTGTTCCAGGTATTAGGTCAATGAATGTTGAATTAAATAAAATTAGGACTGTGAAGACCAGTTAGCAATATGGGAAAACACATTAAAAAAAAAGTATAAGAACACAAAATTGGATGTATGCTATGATTACTACTGTGTAAAAGTAATTATAGTTCAAAGGAAGTAGATTAAAATAATATAGGTAGTTTGTATAGTTTGGGTTGTATTATGGGTGACATTTATCTAAATGCCCAATTTTTTTTTTTTTTACCTAAACCCAATTTTTGGTTGTATCCTGTTTCCTTCTGGCAAAAAGTATATAGGATATAACCTTAAAGTCTCATTGCATGGAGCTTTTATTTTAGTTATTTTTACTGACTGTAAAAGTAGCTTGTAAAAATGTTGGCAAACAGTTTATTTAAAATCTCACCTTTCTGGAGCTGGCTATTAGCTCAGTTGGTTAGAGCATGGTGCTGATAACACCAAGGTCTGGGGTTCAATCCCTGTACTGGCCAGCGACAGCAACAAAAAATACCTTACTTTTCCAGACCCAAAGAGAGTCTAACGTTTTTGCCTATTTTCTTCTCTCTCTCTGCTTATTTTATGGACTTGAGATCAACTGTTTATTCTAATTTGAATTTTCTATGTTTGTGTTTACTGAACATTATCACACAAGCATTTTCCTTTGTAATTAAAAACTCTTCATTTCTGTCAAGTGACGTTCCCATGTGTAGATATTACTATAATTTACTTAATCATCCTCCCACCATTAGACAGTACAATGAATATTTTTGTATATAGTGCTTTATAATGAAGGTTTTTGTATATAATGCTTTTATATATATGAAAATACATTTCATAGTATTTTGTTTAGATAGATCCTGAAGGAAAGGTTACTTAATCTTTAAGACTATTGATTCAGGTAACTTTTTCAAATTTGACAGGCCAAAAAAAGTGTATCATTTTAGTTTGTCTGACTGTTAATAAGCAGTTTTTTCAAATATCATATTTGACATCCTGTTAGTAGAGTTATATATGGAAGAAAAATGATGTGTATAAAAAACATCTGGAGTCTTGCAAAGAAAATCCTGCAGTGGGAAGAAGGTTGGTAGCCTCCAGCTCTTCTTCAAGTTCAGCTCTTCCAGGAATCTGAGATTCTACAAGATTCCATAACTTCATTCCACAAGACGTGGCCACTTAAAATCTTCATCATTTTTACAGAAGACATGTTTCAGAACTGATGTAACTATCGAGAGACTATTTAGGGAAATTCCTTATATGGATTATAGCTCTGTCTCTAAAATTTGTTCTTTGCCATCTTAAACTCATTCACAGAACAGTTAGGGGAGGTAATGACATCAGTAAAGTTCTTTAGTTTTGTTTTTGGAGAAACCTTCATTTGCTGTCAAGACCAGTGGATAATGCTATATTTTGGTTCTAGGTGATGAGACCACCGTGTGGCAGGCCCTGACTTTGCTAGAAGAAGGATTAACCCATAGCCCTTCCAATGCTCAATTCAAATTGCTGCTTGTTCGAATCTACTGTCTTCTGGGTGCATTTGAACCAGTGGTGGATCTTTACTCCAGCCTTGATGCTAAGCATATCCAGCATGATACCATTGGGTTGGTAGTATATACGCTGAATAATGGACAGCCAGCTACAAAAATGTGGGGTATTCATACATGGGACTCTAACTTTTAGATTTTAGCAGTAAAATTGGTCCTGACATTAAGTTTCTTAGATTAAATAATCATCTATTATGATCAACTGCAGAGCAGGATTTTATAGCTCCCAGCATTTTGTGGCAATATTTATTTGTTTGTTTGTTTATTACTAATTGTTTTGGTGATAATTTTTAAATTTGCACAACTTAGAAATGGTAAGAACATTTTCCCCAGAGGTAGCAAACAGATTATGATCAACTGCAGAGCAGGATTTTATAGCTCCCAGCATTTTGTGGCAATATTTATTTGTTTGTTTGTTTATTACTAATTGTTTTGGTGGTAATTTTTAAATTTGCACAACTTAGAAATGGTAAGAACATTTTCCCCAGAGGTAGCAAACAGCTATGTACTTTGAACCCTTACTCTTAGCATACATTATTTTGAAGTCTTTACTTCTGCTATGTAGTTGAGGTTGACACATGTACTTTATTTTTTGACCTCAGAGATCCTTTTGAATTTGTATTTTGCCTAGTCTTTGTAATTACTTAAGGACATTTTCTGTATCCCACTGTAGTGCCATTGTAGGAAGATAGCATTCTTATAACTTCTGTGTTCCATTAATTATCAGAGTGTAAGAAAGCATGGCATAGAACCATTTCTTTGTCATAGTAATTTGAAATGTAGTGTTTGATACTAGAGGTGGGTAAGTATAACATGTATTTTTTTTTTCTTTCCTTCTGGCCTAGTTATCTTTTGACCCGATATGCTGAATCTCTAGGTCAGTATGCTGCTGCTTCCCAATCCTGTAACTTCGCACTCAGGTTTTTCCACTCCAACCAGAAAGATGTAAGTGAAAAACCATTTTTTTCCTGTGGTGTTGCCTGCTGACTGCACGTGATTTAGAGAGTGCGTTACTTTGTCATAAGTACCTCATTACAAGTATTGAGGTGTACCACATTGTACTAGCAAGTACCCTTAGGCCATAGCTTACTATCCAAGGATATTAAGTAGAAGTAGAGTTATTTGTGTTTGTTAGAAGGGGTATGTTTAATAGTATCTTTGGAAAGTTGCAGTTAAAACTGGATGTTAACAAACTTGGACGTATTATGTCTCTTAGACATGTCTTTTGATCTCTGAGAGACTTTTTCCAAGGGTATAAGAAATTGCCCATAAGAGTTTATAGCTTAGGATGTCATATAAGCTTCTGTGATAGCAGCTGCTCTCCGTTTCCTTTATTTATTTCTGAAGTTTATATCCACTGTGCTCTTTGCCAACAGTGAGTGCACTTACATTTTTTTAGAGTTATAAAATTGACCAATTAAAGGACATTTCAAGAACTTAGGTCAATAGTATGTTTTTTGAAGTAGCAATACATAAGATAGAGCTTCTCTGTGCCATAATTAAAGGATGGGATTTGCACCATATTTTTACTGCAAGCAGAGTTGGGCTCCACTTGGCAGTTAAGCAGAAGTTTCTGTGGGAAAGCATATGGTCTCTACTCATTTGACCAACCATGCAAAACTACCCAAGAATGAATGTGGAGAGAAGGCATGGCTTTAGAGTGATTACTGCCTACTTGGTTCTCACACACTTCTAAGACTCATCACCTGGAATTTGGCTATATCTGCCCATAGCTTTCTATTCTCATGGTCTACCAGCAACTAAAGAACTTGGCAGGGAAGGTGGTCTCTGGGTTTCTTCTTGGTAAACATTCATGAGGATTTTTTTTTTAAACCCTTTTGTAACTGTAACAGCTGTGGCTAATCTATCTTCCTTCTAATTCTTTAGAGGTGTATTAAATAGAAGGTAAGGCAGAAGCTTTTCTGAACAATGGAATATTGGTGTGTTTTCTCAGCATATCATAATTATGTTCTGACAAGCTTCAGGACATGGCCTAGAGGGCTGGAGTAGCAAAGGACAGCTCTGCGCAGGTGGAAAGCTGGCTCTTGTGCTTAGATGGTGAGCTGTGTACCTATCAGGGGTTTTTAGCAACCCCCTGATGGTCCCTTCTGCCCCCCCCCAATGATTGGTATCTCTGTTTAGACTTCATTTAGTGGTACAGCTTCTGATCAGGGAGAGGGGGAAGTATGGGTATCAGCATCTGAGCACATTGCTCAGAAGGTGCTAGCCTGGCCTAGAGGTCAGAAGGGCATCTATAGGACATAAAATCTCCTAGCATGAGTGGGCAGTTGAGTTATAAATCTGAGTTTTTACTGTGTTCAAGTATCTGTGCCTGCCCTCCTCTGTTTTTAAGAAGTTTCACTAACTCAATTAAAAAAAAAAGAATTGATTTTCTCAAATCACATTATTTGGGCTCCCATTTCTGTATTTATAAGGAAGAGATTTAAAGAAACATTTGATTTACTCAAGAACCCTTTTCGAACTTTTGTTTCTCAAATAGCTTTAAGGCAGTGGAGGTAAATAAGGTAGTGGTGGCTGGTTTTCCTCCAGTTTGCAATCATTCAGCATTCTAGAAGAAACATTAAGCATGAAGATTTGGTCAACAAAGGCATATTATTTTGTACTAATAAAAGGCTTTAATTTTTTCTTCCCACAAATATTGTATCTGAAGAGTTGATTTTGGGGGGAAAAAAACCCAAAAAACAAAAACACAGAATATCAAAATATAGGGAAAAGAGATCCCCAGGAGCAATTTGAGAGGTGTGTGATCCTTAGTGGCTTCTTATATGTTTGTTTGGTGTTTTGTGGATGGTTGTGTGTGGCAGGAGTGACTAATACATCTGAATATAAGTGACGTCAAACCTGATAAAATTACAGCATTTCATTTATTTGGGATTAGGACTCTGCTTGAAATTTATTTTTATTTTTATACTACTAACTAAGAAGATGGAGCTTATTTAATTATATTAAAATTGGTAGGGTCCTGGAGGAAAAACAAAATACAGCAAGAAAAATGCATCTTGACCTTAATTCTTAAGTCCCCAAATAAGGAAATATAGACTGTGGTGTGGACTGTTTCCTAAAGGAATCTGAAGCTAAGAAAGATCATGATTGTAGTGTCATATACTGTAAATGTTAAACCTTCTGCTCATAGTATTAGAAATATCTCTCTTCAAAGCCAAAGCTCTGTGCTCTACATCTTTTATTCTTGGTAGTTTTGGGGCTCCCCCAGATGCTTTTCCTTGGGTGACTGATGTATTTCGATTCCTAATTAGCTCTTCGAAAGAACATTTTTACTCCATAAGTGGAAAACCCAGTGTTTTGCTTAGTAAGGTTTTGTGCTGTGGATTGAAATTTATATCCGGAAGGTCTACACAAGGATTTTCTTTCTAGAAAGATCATTGTCTGATGTCATCTTACTTTGGAATAGATTTTTAACAACAGGGTAATCAGTACTAGATTTTCATTTCTCCAAGTCACATATATTTATACTTTAAAAAATTTTTCCTTTAAAATCTCTATTTTAGGTATCCATGAAGATTATTCAGGGGGTTGAGGTCCATGTATTTTGCTAATTTTTACAGTGACCAGGGTTCATTTCAGGAATCCATATGGGATCCAAATAGCCTTGTTGGTGCATAAATGAGTAGAACTAGGTATGGGACAAAATACTTTGACTTTCAAGTCTTTAAAGTGCCTGTGACTTCCGGTTTTTGCCTGCAGTTCCATTAGGGGGTTGTTTCTTCAAAGAGTAATACTTTCACAGCCTTTGTCGTGTTGGTTGCTTCCCAGGGCCTAACGTAGCTCTGCAGTGGTACTTTATGGCAGGGTTAAAGGAGGACTATCTAAAAAAGACAAGCCAGAGAACTACAGCTACCTTCTTAGTTTGTTGAAGACTATTTCCTCTTTGTAGCCCCTTATTTTTCTCTTTTCAAAGCTATTGCCTTTTTTCTAAAGTGGTATTCCATGGACCACTCAGAAATTAAAACTGCCTCTACACTTAGTAAGGCTGGGTTCTCTCTATTAATCATATATCAATCATATTTTGGAACTGTAATTCATAAATTTGATTAGAATCACCAAAGTCATATTTTCATCCTGGTTAATTGCTGAATCATATGTTTCTAACCAGCCAGTTTTTTTTCAAACTAAATTCCTATTGCAAAGGCTGATAGTAAATAAACCTTGCTATGTTTTTTAAGCCAAGGGGCTTAGACATTTGTGTTTGTGTTTAGGGTATCCTGGCCTCTTTTACATGTGGCACATCACTGTCCTTTAATCAAGCTAGAAGTTACATTCTAGCTTTTTCAGATAGTCCTTCTTTAAAACTGCAGGATCACAAGTAATCTTTTTAATTTTCTTGTGTCCGTCCGTCTTTAATTTCTCCAGATACTGCAGGCAAACAGCTCGCCGAGGTGTCCCATGGGGGTTTAAAAGCCGCATCGAATGCAGTTGAATTAGCGCCCGTGGCGCAATCCCGCGGCCTGAAATGAACCCTGCGAGACTGTGTATCAGAGGGTATGTTGTTGACTATTGGCCTATTTTCCTACTGGGCAAACTATTTAGACATAATGGAGATGGGGGCAGAGCTGACTAATTGAGGCTGTGCAAAAAAGACTGGCTTTTCTAGAAAGGATCTTTGTTGGGGGCAGACATCAGCTTTGAGCTTAACACTTTCCTTGGCCCTAAGGGGTGATCTCTTGTCTTATGATCCTGATGGCATAGGCCCACACCCGTGAAATGTTCTTCCCTGAGATTTTCTTCTATTGTGCAGAATTTCTGTTTAGAATTCTTTATCTTGCCTCTGTTCTATTATGTTTCATCCACATATATGTACTAATCTATAATTAAAGCATATGTGTTAAGTGTTCCCTTCACTTATTTGTTTATGGAAATTTCCAGCAGAGGTCTTATGTAGTTTGGATAGACAGGAAACGTGGTTCTTGAAGTCTTTCTGTCCTCAGAATGGATTATGACATGAATTTTTATAGGTCTTTTGTTTTTTGTCTTACTTCTATCCTGATGTAATGTATGTATGACCTGTGTTTGTGATACAGTATTCAGAAACAAACAAAACCTAGGAGTAGCCTGCCTTTTTTGGGAGGAGAGTGATTTTTATTTGGGGTTGGGGTGGAGAGTGGTTAAATTATTCTGGCATTTTGGGAACCTTTGTATAAAACGCAGTTTATCTTAGGTGCAGAAAAACATGGAGTAATATCCCTTCCACTATGGCACTAACCACATTTTTGACCGATGAGGCATAACAAAACCTCCTGTCCTGTTGAATTGAAAGACATGACTGCCAACAGAAAGTCTATGTGATGGTAGCTGCAGCTGGGTATTATGATGATTATTATTTGTAAAGAATAATAATTTGACTCAGGTATAGGAGGGAAGAAAGATAACATTTTAAAAAGCTGATATTCTACTTGGCTAATAATTTGACTCAGGTATAGGAGGGAAGAAAGATAACATTTTAAAAAGCTGATATTCTACTTGGCGACAAAGACTTTTAAGATTAGATTCAAAACCGTAATTAATTTTAGTTCAAGTGTTTTGTTTTGGCTGGCAAGGTTTGCTTACATTGCCTGACCTGAGAAATATTTATACCAAGGTGATGTTTTTCCTTCTCAGACCTCAGAATATATTATTCAAGCTTACAAGTATGGTGCGTTTGAGAAGATCCCAGAGTTTATCGCTTTTAGGAACAGGCTGAATAATTCTCTTCATTTTGCACAAGTCCGTACTGAACGGATGCTGTTAGACCTTCTACTTGAAGCAAATATGTAAGTATTTCATAAGAACTATAAAGGAACTAAGGGATTAGATCAGATGATAAGAGCCTTTAATGGGCTTATGGGCATCATTAGCAGGCTTAAGATAAGGAAAAATGGAAAGAAAGAGAGAGAAAGGGGGCAGGAACAGGGAAGAAAGGGAAAACAGAATGTGGTGCATGTAATGGGGAATGATAAAGTACTGCCAGTCATTTCTCTGGTCCAGTACAGAAGCCAACTAAGCCATTGACATCACCCTCTGGTCCATACCGTGCTTGTAAGATTCCTTTCACCGTACAAACAAGAGAATTCAGGAATTAATGCAGATCCACTTTATTTTGGTTGGGCTTTCAGAAGTGTTTCTCTTGCTGTGTAGTAAACCAGTGTTATATGTGCTTGGTTCTATTTCACCTTCTATGCCTTTTTTTTTTTGGCAGTTGGCCAGTAAGGGGGTCTTAACCCTTGACTTTGGTGTTATAACACGCCAGTGTTATATGTGCTTGGTTCTATTTCACCTTCTATGCCTTTTTTTTTTTTGGCAGTTGGCCAGTAAGGGGGTCTTAACCCTTGACTTTGGTGTTATAACACAGCGATTTAACCAACTGAGCTAACCGATCCGCCTATGAGCCCTTACTTCTTAATAGGAAATCCTTCTTTCCTCTTTCCCTTCCTTTTTAGTAAAACAAAATCCTGGTTAAAACATTTTCATGGTTGTTTTAGTGTTGAAATAATACAAAAATAAATTTTCTGTGTCACAGATCAACCAGCTTAGCAGAAAGTATAAAGTCAATGAATCTTAGACCAGAAGAAGATGACATTCCATGGGAAGATTTGCGAGACAACAGAGACTTAAATGTTTTCTTCAGCTGGGATCCAAAAGACAGGTAACTGTAATTTAACCCCAAGTAGTTTATTATGAAAGAATTAGGATGAATCTAAAATACTTTAAAAATCTCCTTTTTACACAAATATAAAATAACATGTTTATTGTAAGGATCAGAAAATAAAGGTAAGCCAAAGGAAGAAAATATATCTCACCCTGATGTTGGGACTGCTAATTAATCTAAGAGTTAGAACTACTTCACAGCATATATGAGAACAAATTCCAGATGGATTAAAGATTCTACTCTAAAACTCCATATTTTTAAATAAGTGGAGAAAGCCTTTCTTAGCATTATGTCAAATTTGGAAACATGAAGTATTTAACCTCTGCAAATAGAAATAAGATATTTGTTAAATTCTAAAGGTTTGTGGTAAATTGGTAAATTTCTTCATGCATATTAATATCCTTTGTATAGAGAGGGAACTCAATAAATCAATAAGAAAAAGATAACTAAGAAACAAATTGGGCAGAGGACTTAACAAGAAGTTCAAAGAAATACACCTTATAGCAATAAAGATTTGTTTTTAACGAAAAGATTAATACTTGTGGTCAGCCAGGTTCTGTGGAAATGGTTATTGTCATACATGTACATGGGGTTAAAGCTTTATATAGCCTTCTTATAAGGAATTTTAGTGATACATAAGTATATCAAGATTAAAAATGCCACATACCATTTAATTCAGCATATCCACTTCTAGGAAAGTAGAACCTAACATATAAATGCCTAAGCATGCAAAGATGTATGTATGAGGTAGTTCTGAAAATGCTGTGATTTGTGGGTTGCCAAGACCACATTCAGTGATTTGCTAGAAGGACTCAAGGGACTCAGCATATAGTTGCACTCATGACTAAGGTTTATTATAGCAAAAGGATACATGACAGGATTAGCAAGAGAACAAGGCACAGTTGAATATAGAAAACTGCATGCATAGAGATTCATTGCTCTCTCCGTCCTATGAGGGGACAAGCTGACCATGCTCCTTTGTCCAGCAGTGAAAAATGTAGTAATGCATGCGCCATGTTTCTGCCCATGGAAGCCCATTACAGACTCAGTGCTCAATGTTTTTTAATCAGCTGGTTACACAGGTGCAATCTCTGTCCAGCATGTTCCAAAATGCCAGACTCCCAGAAAGAAAGCAGGTGTTTACCATAAGCCACATAGTTTGTACAAACAGTTTAGGCATAGCAAGCCACTCTTACCATTTAGGGACTGGTTAGAGTGCACAGTTCCCAGACAACAGCTAAGGACCAACCTTGCAAGCAGGCCCTTCTAAAGATAACAGCTGCAGGCCTGCAGTGTTAACTCTTTTCTGTACATACTGTTATAAAAAGATGTAGTTTACAAAATAGTGCAAATAATGTGAACCAATGTGTTTAAAATTATTAAATTATATAAATATTATTTTTAGTCACATTTGTATATATCCATATTGCAAAAGTCTGGAAGGATCTATACCAAGCTTGTTAATACTTTGGGTATTTTGTTATCAGGGTACTTTTTCCTTCTGTTTTTTATTTTTATCATTTTTATTTTTTATTTTATCATTTGAATTTTTTATTTATATCAGGTACTATTGATGATACATGTATCATGAGAAAAAAAGAAGTCTTACTTAAGGGAAAAATGATCTGTTACACAGATTATCATTCCCATTTTATTGATAGTGAAATGGGGACTCAAGATTTTGGCTTGTCCAAGATCATTCAGCTAGTAAATGAAAGCTGGGATCATTCCTCAAAGGCATCTTGACTGGTAAAAGCGATCTTTGAAAGATTTGAAGGCAGCAGATTGAATAAAATGGATGGTTTGGGGATGTTTCTGTTTAAGGGATGTTTCTGAAGAACATAAGAAACTTTCCTTGGAGGAGGAGACCATGTGGTTACGAATCCGTTCCTTAACACTGAGGCTGATTAGTGGGCTTCCAAGTCTTAATCACCCTGTGGAGCCAAAGAACTCAGAGAAGACTGCTGAGAATGGTGTATCCTCCCGGATTGATATTCTTCGTTTGCTCGTTCAACAGCTGGAGGTAGCCCTGGAGACAGGAAAGCGGTTCATTGAGAAGGAAATTCAGGTATCATCAATAAGTACTTGACATCAAAGCTACAATAATTATATTTATGACTTTCTTTTTAAAAATAGGAGTTTGGGGTAGGTGAATAGTAAATAGCATTTTGTCCCAGTTTATGGCATCTGTTGGAAAAAGAGGAGTATTATAGACTCAGAGGGAATTGCAGAGACTTCATCAGTATCTGGACTGGATAGTGAGGAAAAGCAAAATAGCTTCTTTTATGATGGTAAATTTTTAACAGCTATAAATAAATTAGTACAGCATTTCTCTTTTCACCATAAAGATTTAGTGATTAGTTTGCTGATTAATGGCTTTTAACTCAGTCACTGAAACAAGTCACTTATTATGTATGAATTTAGATGGATTTAAAGAACATCGTTTTTTCCCTTTCTTTCCAGTATCCTTTTCTTGGTCCTGTACCTACCAGAATGGGTGGATTTTTAAATTCTGGCTGTTCTCATTGTCAGATAAGCTCTTTTTATCTTGTTAATGACATTTATGAGCTGGATACCAATGGTTTAGGTAAGTATGTACTTGCATGTGTGTTTACTGGGTCTTTGTCATTGAAAACTTAGTAAATGCAATTAAATATCTATAACTTCACACATTTGGAAAAATTTGGAGTAGATGGAAGCTGGAAACTATTCTGGAAATGTCTGGTTTAGTATACAAGAGGGTGCGTTTATAGGTTACAAAGTAGTGTTTTAGAAGCTTAAGTCCTTTCCATATTTAAAATCACTTCTTAGGTCCAAAAGTTGAAGAAATTCGTGATTTCTTGAAATACTGTTGGATTTTAGATTGAATTGCATTTTTAAAATGAAGCTCTAAACTTTGTGGAGAAGAGGTTTTTTTCTAAGCTCTCAACTCAGAGAAACACGAATATTTCACAGATCATGCTTACCCCCCTCTTTTAAATCATAAAGTTCATAGTTTCTATCATTTAGAGTATTTGAAGCACATAGATTTCAATTCCTTTTAGTACCTTTGGCAGAAAGATAATTAATGCTTTTACTTTTGTCCTTCCTTTTCCTTTCCTTCATCTTTTTCTCTGTCTCTCAGTAATGGAATTTTGATGCCTGGGGATCTTAAGAGAAAAGAAAATATCTATGTCCATGAGTTGCTTGCAGGCATTGATCTTGCTTCTTTTCCTTACTAAAAATATGAATTGAAAGTTTTTCGTTTTTTGTTTTTCAATTTTAGAGGATACAGTGGAGGTCCAGGAGCGAATAGAGAATAGTCTTAAGTCTTTGTTAGAACAATTAAAAAGTAAGTGTTTTTACTGTGCATTCCTGTATTGTATCTGGTTGTCTGGCAATAGCTTAATTTTTTATAGAAACTTGTGGGAGGGTGGGAGGGTTTGAAAATAATAATGCAAACTTTTTGGAATATTTAAAGACTTGTTCTTAACTATTGACGGTTAAGTTTTGATTCAAAAGTAGTAGATATCTATTATAAAATGATACACAAGTGGTTATGATCTTCCCCCATTTCCCAGGCCCATTCTCCCAAAGGTGAATACTGTTAACACTTTGGAGTCCATACTCCTAGATGCCACCTAAACAGTCATAGATATGCATATGAAAATACATAGTAGTCATTTTTTTTTAACATATGAAAAGGTTTTCTGATTTTAACTTTTTTGTTATCTTGGGTACTTTTCCATGTCAGTTATACACACACACACCACCCATTCATTTTAAAGCTGTATAATATTCTATTAGAAGCGTATCAGTGTTCCAAATTTATTTATTCTTCCATCAGTGACAAAATATATTATGTACTTGAGTTATTTCTCATATTTATACCAATGCTGAAATGAATATCTTGGGACACAGTGTGGGTACTTGATGTGAGTATTTCCTTGGGATTAAATTCTTTTTTTTTTTTTTCCTTTTTGTCTTTTTTCGTGTCCGGCAACGGACCGCAACCCTCAGTGTCATGCCCGCACCAGACTGGGACCGGCAACAGGATCGCAACCCTCAGTGCTGCGCCCGCCCCTCACTCAGCCAGTGAGCGGGAACCGGTCTGTATGTGGGATCCGAACCCTCGGCGGGAGCGCCGTCGCGCTCTCAAGCGGTGCACTGTAGCAGTGCGCCACCGGGCTGGCCCTAAATTCTTAATAATATAATTATTTGGGGCTGAGCCCGTGGCACACTCGGGAGAGTGCGGCGCTGGGAGCGTAGCAGAGCTCCCGCTGCGGGTTCGGATCCTATATAGGGATGACCGGTGCGCTCACTGGCTGAGCACGGTGCGGCCGGTCTCAAAAAGGACAAAAAAAAAAAAAAGAATATAATTATTTGATAAATGGGTACATATATGCATTTTCAATCTGTAAGGGTCTTTCTTTTCAGGAGCCTAAATGGTCTTTTATTTTATTGTCCAAGTGAAGAATGTCTGAAAATTAGAAGATGATCAAGATTATGAGAATAAGACATAGTATTTGTTTTGAAGATGCATTTCTACAATGCACCTTCTTGGTTTTTCAGTCCATAATGGTACAAGTTTTTCTAAATCATTCACTGGAGTCTTAATTTCATTGTACCTATGGCCTATTAGTGAAAAAAATTTAGCTGGTGTTTAGATCTTATAATAAAGGGCACGTTTTATATTTTGAAGAATATGGAGCGGTAGTCAACATGGCTTTTTAATGAGCTTAAAATAGATATCCTTTGGAATTTGGTTCTTTGAGGAAAATGAAAAAAAAACTTTCTGGATTATGCTTTTATATTTCCTTATTCTTTATTAAATTGTGCATTGTGTTCTTAAAAATAGTATTGAAACTAAAGCTGAATTAAACCATAGAATATTTTTCTGTTTTCAGGTGTCTTCAGTAAATGTAAAGGTGATCTCTTAGAAGTTAAAGACAGTAACTTGAAAACACATCCTACTCTTTTAGAAAATCTAGTCTTCTTTGTTGAGGTATGTTTTTGTTCTCTTTGTGAAAGGTGTGCTTTTTCTTAGTGGTAGCCAGGACTCATTTTTCAACAGTTAACTGGTAATAGGCACCTTACACCTGCAATTTAACACCTGCCCGTGCTTTTGTTAGTTGAAAGCAGTTTAAATCATTTTCTAAACCAAATCCTTCCAAGAATACCAATAAAATTTTATTCATAATGCTTAGGTAAAACTTCTCAAAATTTGCTTTACTCGTTGCTAAGTCACCATATTCATTCCAAATCTAGCTATTTTCTCTTCATTCTCCTTTCTGACTCACTCTTTTTTTTTTTTTTTCGTTAAATTTTCATTTTGTCAATATACAATGTATATGATTATTATGGCCCATCACCAACACCTCCCTCCCAC